TGTGTGTGTGTGTGTGTGTGTGTGTGTGTGTGTGTTGTTTTAAAAGAACCCAGATTTTCTCTCTCTCTTTCATAAATCATCACAAGCCATCCATAACGAAAAAGCATAGATAGGCAATATAATAGAAAATGCAAGGTTGGCCACGTTTGTGTGGTTCAGCGCCAAGTGCCCATACACCCGTCTGCCGCGAAAGCGGCACGCTTGCACGTATACAATGTACACATATATAATTTAAACCGCAAGGGGATGGAGGGCAGAAGGCTACTTACCTAAGATAGAAGACTACTCCAGCAAGAAGGCACCCACCCGACCCCCTCAAAGGTCCGAAAAAACTTGGAGAGCCTTGCACATTGGCCCACAAAACCAAAACTCATTTATCGAAAACAAACAAATATAACAGCATTAGCAGTCCCGGCATTCATCTCAAAATACACACTCACGTCACTGCCAAAGAGTAGGAAGAAGATAAGAGACAACTTACCTAAGACAGAAAACTCTCCAGCAAGAACGCACCAGTCCCCCCTGCAAAGGGTCCGCAAAAATTGGGAAAGCCTTCCACGCCGGCCCACAAAACATACATTCCTCCCAAAGAGAACTCGTGGCCACCCGTAAACATCCAAACAGCCCATGCTCTAAACCAGGGCAAAGATTTAGGCCGTGTATAATCAACAAAACCAACAAGACAWATCCAACCACAAAAAGAGAGAATAGCTCGCTAGTACGAGCCAGATCCTAGCCGCTCAAATCTGCCAAGACAGGGAGCTAGCAAGTGTGTATATGTGTGTGTGCACGCATGCGTCTGTGCTTGGAAAGACTTGAACTGTCAATTCCAAATTCCGTAGTTTGGTGCTCTATAGAATTGAGCTACAAGCACATTCTGGGGCTACTCAGAAAAAAAAAAGCATGACTGTGCCAGACTGTTTCATTGGACTTTCACCGACTCATCAGGAGGTTGAACCCTCGTCGTGTGTGTGTGTGTGTGTGTGTGTGTGTGTGTGCATGTCTTGCATGCGTTCTTCTGGGATAGTCACGAAAACAGAACCCATGCTGCACAATCATAAGTGGAATGAGAGTGCAAGTGCATTAGAACAAACTCTCAAATGCAGAAGACAGCTCACCAACGCTGGCTGTTTGCCAAGTCTAAAATTCCCCCCTTGTCTGTTGATTGAGCGGGAAGCGCAGACAGATCTGTCCGCAAAAGCACACTTGCACTCTCCTACATGACAAAGCTGCAACAGAAGTGTAGAGTCTGTAGACACTTGCACTCTCCTACATGGCAAAGCAGCAGTATAAGTGTAGAAAACAAATGGAGGAAATGGTGTCCAATTTGACAGCAAATCTGCAGCAGAAGTGTAGAAAATAAATGTAAGAAACGATGGTGTTCAAATTAGACAGCAGCCTCGACATTCGCAAGCTCCAAACCTGCGGGGCAGGTTTGACGTTTCAAAGAGGTTTGAGAGTCTGATGTGAATCCACAGCTTGGCTAAGGGCATGCTCACACTAGGACTTTCCTGCATGTATCTGATCGGAATTCTACCATGAGCTGGATGTGTCCGACCGCAATTATGTCCAGGGCTTAGTCCAGAAAGTCCTAGTGTGAGTATGCTCAGGCTGACCTCATCCGACATCAGAAGCATAGCTGTCCACGGCACACAGGCTCTCTCCCTATGTGCCACAACAGCCACCAGCCAAAGCAAGGCCAGAGTAGGCTGTACGGTTCCAACCAATGGGAAATATTGAGACTCTCTGAGTCTGCCGCACTGCTAGCTATGTGTCCCAGTGAGCTCTGATCACAGCCATGGGTTGACCAAAACTGCGTCGATCGGACAGATTCTGCCGCGGATAGTGATGGGGCCCTTCCAGAGGATGGTGGATGCTCAATGCCATTGTGTCTCCACAGAGGTGCAGTTTGGTTAGAGCATGCATGCAACACAATCTCTGCTCCAAACACTATGCAGGCATGGTCACTGCCAGCCTCTGCCAAGAACCCTGTGACCCGTTGTCTTGCACTCGCCTCCCCAGCCCCCCTTATTGCTTGCCCGATATGCTGTTGTGGCCTTGACATGCCATATGCTTGAATAAATGCAAACGTCAGCCTGATTTCCTGCTGGCATATCAGCAAAAATGCCATGTGTCGTCAATGTTCCCAGGAGGCTGTCATGGAAAGCATGTAACTTCCGCATGGATTATCCCCGATGCCATCACCTGCCACATCCTCTCGGTGCATACACCTGCTGCACCAGTAATCAGATCTCCTTAATCCTTGCCAGACGAGCAACAGACGCTGCAGCCTGAGGTGGAAAGTAGATGCTCACATGAACCACCTACACTGCCCTGTACTGAAAGGTTGTCGCCGCCAGGGTAAGCTCTTGCAGAGCAGATCTTGCGACAGCGAAATGCCCTTACTTTCGAGCAGGCCCCGTCATCACCTGCCTATAGAGACGGAATATTTGGTGCTGAAACCCAAGAAACTCGCTCGACGCCGCACTGTGATGGCCCACCTGAGATTCGGCTAGCATGTGATTGGCATGCTCTGTGTCGTGAGGATTATGAAGGTATAACTCATGCAAGTCTTTGTTTTCATACATAGGATGACAGTCAACATTGTACTCACATACGGCGTGCATGTCCTATACAACAGAGGCTAGAATGGCAATGCGTAGGCAATTGGGGTTGGTGTGCCTCTGTGTTCCTAGCGTATAGGATCCACGCAGCCTGTGACATCTGTCTACGCTGTGCCATTCAGTTCAGCAACTGCAGCTGTGAATTGGATGCGGTGCTTCCGCAGTCCACACTCAAACCGGTCCTGCCTGGTCTGTACGGGTGGTGCTTACCATGGGCAATGGCAGCTCCTCAACTCAAATTTCTCTTCAACCCAAACACTGACTTCCCATTCTATAGTAGTCTGCTCCGGTGGTGACTGTCGAGAACCTTGAGAAGTTGTCTTTCCTCTGTTCTATTCCTTGCCTCCACTCCCCTCCTCTTCGCCTTCTCCCTCCCCCTCCCTCGCTTCCTGCAGAACCTCCCCATCCTACCACTTTCCTTCCTCCCTGCCCTTGTGTACTGCTACGAAATGCATGCGAATGGGCGTCATTAAGAGAACAGACAAAATAATAAACTGGAGATCTGAGGAAAATTTCAGAGTATACCTCCTCCTTTACTCTGCCTCCTGTCAAAGCGTCCAAGTGGGCTGTTATGGCACACAAGGATGTGGGCAGCTTGTGCTCAACCACAATCAACGTGGCAAGCCTTGTAGGTTAGAGGCACAGGAAAAGGAAGCTGCAAGAAGAAATATAAGGGGTACCCCAAAGAAAGCCGAAGTAAAGAAAGTCAAGAAAGGACTGTACAAGGAAAAAGGCAGTATGATGGTTTTATTGTGCTTCGTGTTGTTTGTCATAGAGGTAAAAGTGTTCCAATTCTGGCTTTGCTGATCTTAGTGTGCTTCGTGTTTTTTGCTATAGAGGTGAAACTGTTTTGATTTTGGATCTGCTCATCTGGGTGGAAAAGGGGTTGTTGTGGTGACAGTCTACAACACCCCCCCCCCCCCCCCCCCCCCCCCCCCCCCCCCCACACACACACACACACACACACACACACACAGAGAGAGAGAAAGAGATCATAAGCACACTAGAACACAGCGCGAGGCTTGACATATCACAATGAAGTTGAGTGAACGCGATGTGTCCACACACACACACACACACACAGAGAGAGAGAGAGAGAGAGAGAGAGAGAGAGAGAGAGAGAGCATAAGCACACTACACAGCGTGAGGCTTGACATGTGACGCTCAACCTCACGCCCTGGGCTGTCTTCCGTTCAAAGTGTTTAAAATTGCGGAAGGGGCCCCGGAAAGGCAGCAAGATGGGGTGTGCCAAGGATACGGACAGAACCGAAATCCCCTGTGTCGGTCCGACTTAGTAAGAAAGGGGGGGGGAAAGGGGGAGGGTCCGTCACCGCGCGGGTTTTGAGGGAGAAGAAGGCGCGTGCGGGACTCACGGCGCGGGGAAATTCAATCCAAAAAGTATCGTTGAACTTCCCATCGAGCCGTCGCTTTTCGTTTCGCATGGAAGGGGGCGGGCACGTACTTGGTATCCCGTTTCCGGGTCAAGTCCGGACGCCACACATTACACAACTCTGAGTCTGACGTGGAAGGCCTTAACCGAGTGGGTCTTTCCTTACGCTCATCTTCATCTCGTACTCGGTAGTGAAAGCCCTTCGATTGGTAACGCTCGAAGCGGCGACAATCGCTGCACAGAGTGTTAGGCCAATGGGGCGCTACTGCCGACCACGGGATGACGATTAGGTCATTGAACGACAATAGCAACGAATAAGGCGGAAAGTGTGTGTCCACAATAACGAAACCAGCACCGACAAATCCAAAGCATCGAGTTTCAGGATGGA